TGCTATTGGGATGAATATAAACCCATTATATAAATGAGTTCCTGCTACCATAGATATTTTCTTTCTACCATGTCATGAAAGAGTTTTCGGCTTTTCAGATCATGTATGATAGTTGAAGCTGATATTGATTGCAGTGGCATTGAAATGGAACAGAATAGGGATGATTTACTGTAATATAGAAATAATTGTATCACTTTCATTTGATGCTACCTTTCTGCAAATTCACCTCCTGAAGGCTAGTTTGAAGTTCACGCTCTTTCCTCTGTTTCTGATATTTCTAATTCTAAGTTGAAAAGTTATCCTCCAGTTTCCGGGGCATATGTGTAGAAATTTTGTAGCATCCGTTTGTTTTTTCTCCTGTTTTCCGGGGCATATTTTTTTTGCGGCAGTTCAAACAGTGAGGGTTGTAGTTGGGACTCGGGAGCTCTAAATTCTAGAATTCATGCCCTTGGAGACATGTAGTATCTTGGAGAAAAAGCACATACCTCTCTACCTTGTGATTTGAAATCGTTAATTTAGTGCAACATGCCAGAATGGCATGTCCAGTCCATCTTGGTTCAAGCTTTTCAATTTAACTTGTGCTAGCTCAAGTAAATCTCGTCTAGAACGCTCAGATCCATCTTGTAATGGAAGAATTTGGGTCTTCTCAAATCAATTTATGAATGTATATAATAAAATGTATTGAGTCATACTACTCATAAATTATAGATAGTGATTTATTTTTCAGACTCAGTATGATTTTACCTAAAAGCATGTCTATATACTGTAATTGAAGTTGATATTGATAGTAGGTGCATTGAATTGTCAAAGAATAGTGATAATTTACTTTAGTTATAATATTGTCAAGTTGCGCTGGCTAAAGAAGCGAGATGTTATCACGGGAGCACTGAGTTCCTTCTGTAAAAGCTCATATATTTATTTTGAGTAGTGTGTGCATGTCTCGAGATCTTTCACTGGCAGAACTGGAGAAGACGCTTTGTTGGCATATAAGCTTGTGATTGCACTATAAGGGCCAGTTTATTTATTTATTTATTTTTTTGTTTTTTTGAACTCCGCCTATGTTTATAGTCGGTCCTAAGCTCGGGTAAAGGAGGAGGGTTGTATTAGGCCATCAACAGCTAATGTAAAACTTTGTTGAATCTATCATGAACATGGACAATAGACGTTATAATGTTAATGCTAGGTCGTTGCCCGTAAGTAACGCGCTGCATGGCTCGAATACAGTGATAAGTGAGTTAGAGCCGTTGCATCGGCGCCCGGATGTAGTGTTAAATGAGCAAGGGCTATCGCGTCATTCTGGACGCATGCGGCTAAAGAAGTTAGTGCATAAGAGCAAAATTAGATTTGGTACTTGGAATGTTGGGACATTAAATTGTAAATCTGTAGAGGTTGCAGGGGTTATGATTCAAAGGAAAATCAATATCTTTTGCTTGCAAGAAACAAAATGGCGTGGAGAAGAAGTTAAGGATATTCAAGGTTTCAAACTTTGGTATACAGGAAAAGTAAGTGCACGCAATGGAGTAGGCATCATTATAGATAAGGAGTGGAAGAAGAACGTTGTAGAAGTTACCAGAATTGGAGACAGAATTATTTCCTTAAAAATGATAATTGGACGTGAGACTGTTAATATTGTTAGCGCTTATGCGCCGTAAGTCGGGACAGAAGTCAGTGTTAAGGAATTATTTTAGGAGAATCTGGAGGGGTTGATTCGACGTATACCACAGAGTGAAAAGATTTTTATTGGAGGAGACTTTAATGGGCATGTTGGGAAGGAAGCTGGTCAGTATGCGAGGGTGCATGGTGGTTTTGGTTTTGAAGAGCTAAATAATGAAGGACAAACTCTTCTTGATTTCTCATTAGTGTATGATTTTAAGATTGCCAACACTTGTTTCAAGAAGAGAGATGAGCATCTCATCACTTATAAAAGTGGAGCCTCAAGGTCACAGATTGATTTTCTTTTGGTTAGGAACACAGATAGAAGACTTTGTAAAAATTGTAAGGTGATCCCCGGAGATGCTGTAACGACACAACATAGGGTCCTAGTCCTTGATGTGTGTATTATGAGTAAAATTCAAAAACGTCGACAAGTAGTAACACCAAGGATTAGATGGTGGCAATTAAAAGGTGAGAAGCAAGATATTTTCAAGCGAAATTTTTTGGATAAAGGAATTTGGGAATCTCAGGGAAGTGCTAACATCATATGGGAGGATATGGCTAAAAAGATACGGGAGGTTGCAAAAGTAGTTTTGGGAGAATCGAAAGGTTCTGGTCCGAGAGATAAGGAGTATTGGTGGTGGAATAATAGTGTACAGGATAAAATCAAATATAAGAAGAACTGTTTTAAAGCCATACATTTGTGTAACAATGAGGAAAATTGGGAGAGGTACCGTATGGCTAAGAAGGAAACTAAGAGCGCTGTGGGTGAAGTTTGTTCTAAAGCTTTTGAAGAATTTTATAAGAACTTTGAGACGAAGGAAGGAGAGCAAAATATTTATAAAATTGCCAAGAGTAGGGAAAGAAAATCAAGAGATCTAGAACAGGTAAGGTGTATTAAGGATGAGAAGGGAAGAATTTTAGTTACAGATGATGAAATTAAAAATAGATGGGAGACTTACTTTTCTAAACTTTTTAATGATGGAGAGGATTCATCTAGTAACTTGGAGGATTTAGTAACTGGTGAAGGAGAACAAAATTTGTCATTCTATCGAATAATACGTGATAAGGAGGTAAAGGAAGCTCTTAAGAAAATGGCAAATGGTAGAGCCAACGGACTTGATTGTATATCTATCGAAGCGTGGAAATGTTTAGGTGAAGAAGGGGTGAGATGGTTAATTAAGTTATTTAATGTGATTTTACGGTCCAAGAAAATGCCTGATGAGTGGAGGAGAAGTACATTAATTCCTATTTATAAAAATAAAGGAGATATTCAGAATTGTACTAACTATAAAGGGATTAAACTCATGAGCCACACAATGAAATTGTGGGAGAAAGTAATTGAGCACAGGTTGAGATTGGAGACAAGTATTTCTGAGAATCAATTTGGTTTTATGCCAGGTAGATCAACTACAGAGGTGATTTATCTACTAAGGGGATTAATGGAAAAGTATCGTTGTAAAGATAAAGATCTACACATGGTTTTTATTGATTGGGAAAAAGCTTATGACCGTATACCAAGAGAAGTGCTTTGGAAAGCGTTGGAAAAAAAGAGAGTACGGATTGCTTATATTAAAGCCATACAAGATATGTATGAGGGGGTAAAAACTAGTATAAGAACACCTAGTGGTCAAACAAAGGATTTTCCTATAAAGATTGGACTATATCAGGGATCATCTCTGAGTCCTTATTTGTTCAACTTGATTTTAAATATTTTGACGGAACATATTCAAGAGGAAATCCCGAAATGTATGCTCTTCGCGGATGATATAGTTCTTATAGCAGAGACAAGAGAAGAGGTTAATTGTAAACTTGAGTTATGGAGGAGGACATTGAAGTCGAAAGGTTTTCGTCTGAGTAGGAGTAAGACGGAATATTTATATTGTAAATTTGGTAAAAGAATATTCGACAATAATTTGGAAGTGAAATTGGGAGATCAAATTATACCTCAAGTGAAAAAGTTTAGATATTTGGGAGCCATTATTCAAAATGATGGCGAAATCAGTGGAGATATTTCACATAGAATTCAAGTTGGGTGGTTTAATTGGAGAAAAGCTAAAGGAGTTATTTGTGACCGTAAGGTGCCTAATAAACTTAAAGGAAAGTTTTATCGCACTGCTATCAGACCGGCAATGTTATATAGTAGTGAATGCTGGGTTCTAACGGGACAGCAAGAGCATAAAGTTGGAGTAGCAGAGATGAGAATGTTACGATGGATGTGCGGACATACACGTAAAGATAAAATTTGAAATGAGCACGTACGCGAAAAAGTGAGGGTGGCACTTATTGAAGAAAAAATGGTAGAAAATCGATTGAGATGGTTTGGGCATGTACAAAGAAGACCAAGAGAGGCACCAGTGAGAAGAGTGGAACATATAACTTTGAGTCCGATTAAGAGAGGTAGAGGAAGGCCTAAGAGAACACTCTTGGAAGTTGTTGAACGCGATCTCTTAATTAATAATATTCCTAAAAGCTTGATAAATGATAGAGCACAGTGACGTCTTGCAATCCATGTAGCCGACCCTACTTAGTGGGATAAAGGCTTGTTGTTGTTGTTGTTTTGTTTTTTTGAAAATTGGAGCACGATTGATGAAGGAAGCTAGTATTGTGTTTATTGTTACTTCTTGTATTCGTCTTTGAGGTTATAATGATATTCAGTTTATATTAAAAAAAATTGGAGTAACGAAGCCACGGATAAATAGTGATGAATACAAGGACAGTAGCCCAATTGGTTTTTTCCCCTTTTCTTATCTTCATTTTCTTGTCAACGTTTTATTAATTGGCATTAGGGTTTAGAATATCTCGAGACTTGCATTGGTTTTGGGGGCAAACATATTGACTTTTAGTTTTATTTATGTGCATGATAATTTCAATTAATTCAAAACATGGGATACAAGTTCGTTCGCTCGTTCGTTTATTTTATGGAAGATCGAGTCAATTGAAACATAAAATTGTCTAAAAGAATAACTACACCACAACGAAAATTAAAAACCTTTAGTTACTTGCATTTGGGCATCAACTTATTGATTGAGCCGTGAGGACCCCTTCCCTCAGAAATATACAAAGGGAGATAGGGAACAAAAAAGAGACGAAGTTGTGGAAGCTGTGGTTCCCCATTTCCTTTACCATTTGATCTCTATGGATATTTGACTCCGGCTTGGGATTGGGGAGGGATCAGCATCTCCCGCGATCAAAGAAAACGATAACCGCGAAACAGACTTTGCAGAGTATCAGAGCGTAGATCAGTGGCTGTCAAGATTTGCTTGTTTTGGCGTCATTCTCCACGTGGAACGTCGAAACTCGAATCTTGTCGTTACAAAATTTTCTATGCATCAAGTTTGAAGAAATTCAGTAGAATGCCGGGAATGAACCCTTTTTTTTTTTTTTTTAAAAATGGTAAGAATGACTGAACATGTTATTGGAAAGTATGCAAACAGTATACATAAGAGGCCAAGAAAACGAGAATCACATGGGAACGGGTCTTCATTCACTGTCCCTCCATACTTCTCGCAGAAGCTCATATCTAACAAAATTACGACCTTCAGTTACTGCTGTGAACTTGTTAGATAAAAGTGAAGGTTCATCAATCCCAATAGCAGATAAGGGTGAATCTAAATCATCAAGCTCGTCATCACTAGTGTATGACTTTTTTACCACTGACGATCCACTTCTACGCAGAGATTGGGAGCCCAATTCTTGTATTATGGCTGTAACTGAGATTGCTGCAGGTGGTGCATAGGATGTTGGGGCGGCAATATGTGGAATGCTGGCGATGGACCCTTCGTCATCCTGAATATCCTGCCACTCACACAAACACCATAAAGATGGTTACAATAATTTCCCCTTCATTTTCCCTACCTTTTTGGGACACGAGGTTCAAATTTCGAGTTCTTTGTACACCATTAGTATTATCTAAGCAGAATACAGCATCAATACACAGATGTAGCAAAAGTTCATGACTATGCTAGGTCAATGGATCCGAAGTCGATGAGAAGTGTGCGTATGCGAGGGTCATTAAGCAAGATATTCCACTTGACAAATAGACTAATATGCATTAAGTCTTTAAGTTTTTGGGCCTAATAAAGTTATTAATTTAGTTAATAATTCGTTGGTTATTCTTAAGTTAATGTTTATATTACAGAGAAAACACAAAATGGTGCTTAAACCAGCCTACCTCAGTATTCAGGGTCTCAAGAACAGTATCAGGGACGGGCCCTGGGCAAAACTCATCAGGAACAAAATTGTTCAGAACCCTCTTTATCAATGGGACGCCAAATGTAGGGCATACCTACATAAGTGTTTAGATGATGAATACCAAATAATAAAGTACTAACTGCTAGAAAAATGATGAACAAGACTAAGAAACTTGATTCAACCTCTTTTCTTTGAGATGCGTCAGCAAGCATTTCAAAAGGAAGCATCATTAGATCACTCAGTGAATTAAGGAGATGGAAAGCCTTGAAGGATGTCTCACACTCTGGACTCCCGTTGTCATCATCTTCATTCCGATCTTCAGGAGAGTCACAATCATCAATGTCAAATAAATCTGAGAGCCATCTTGACCAGTTCCCAATCTGAGTGCAATAGAAAGTTAGAAACAGAGGAATGATGATTGACCAAAGGAATGCGCTACAAATCCTTGATCAAAGTAAGAGCAAAATAGTAAAATTATTCTACTACATGTCTCAGTACCCAAAAAAAAAAAATTAGAAGCCTGCAGAAAAGAAAATGCATGTTGAAATACACTTACGTACTAATTCAAGAGGGCTCAAAATGAACAGGATCCTTATAATCTGAAGACAAAATTCACTAGCTTGCAATTTTAAGCCAAGCTCAAGCTTCAAATGAAAAAGGAAAAATTAATCTTTTAGTCCACTAACTTTTAATTCACTTGTAATTCAATTCCTCAACCATGACTCACCTATAACTCAGTCCCTTAACTTTTGACTCACTTATAATTCAGTCCCTCAACTTTTGTTAATTTTCTTTTTTTATGTTAAGCTTAGATCTGACATCAAAGAGCAAGAGGAGAGTATTTTAGAACAACATATGAATATTTCTTTTATCCCTCTTATTTGATAAGGAAATTTTTTTTAAAAATTGAAAAATAAAGACCGAATTATAAGTGAATCAAAAATTAAGGGACTGAGTCACAGTGAGTCATAATTGAAGGACTAAGTTACAAGTGAGTTAAAAGTTGAAGGACTAAAAGATTAATTTTTCCAATGAAAAATCTAATTAAAGATTTCAATGTACATGCATTCCTAGGCATTATGCTTTCATAAATCATTTTTTTTATCACTCGTATTTAATGTAACATCACCAGTCATCAAAGAACATAGTAGATGAACTGGAGATTATAGAATCTAAAATCTCGCTGATTGTTTTCACCGGAAAATTCTGTTCACTGCTAAAAAGTATTTCACACCCTAAACAAAAATAAAATAAAATTGTAAATCTGATCTAACATTCAACTAAGATTTGTTTTCTAGAGCTCATGAGAATTAACGTGTTACTGCTATTTCCATAATATCCTTGAATTATCACTTGATACAATACATCATTCATTTGGATCAGCAAGCAGAGCCTTCCCAAAAATCATACAAATGCAGATCGCTGATTGTATAGTGGAAGCAGTGGACTTAATGATTTAGTGGCAGACAAAATAAATGTAGGAGATAGGAATCAAATATTGCAGACAGGTTGGAAGATTATCATGAATTAGAAGTCAGAAAATAACACAGGAACAAGGAATGGCATAAGATTTCATCACTCACAGCATTTTTTAGTTGTGCACCAGCCCCAAAGCCTGATTTTCCTGCAGGAATTGGAAGAACCCTAGAATCACTAATGGGGTCAGATATAGGATCAGTTGGCATCTCTTCAGCTGATTCACGGAGAATAGCATTAAACATTGCCACATCAAGTCGATTTACAAGCTGCTCCATCACCTAAAAGCATGAAAAAAAATCTTTCAATCACATCGCACTTAGTGTATAAGATAATGCATTAGGAATAAGAAAACAGCATTGATCAAAGAATTTTCATTCCCCAAATAGTATATAATTAACCACTTCAATACACAAAACATGAAGACATGCATGCACAAAATACTAATCAGTGGTAGGCAACAATACAAACAAAGATGGAAATGACAACTTTTCCCTCATAACAACAAGGATCAAGAAGAGAAGGATGCAGTCGCAGTTTATAAAGGTTTCCCATTGACATCAGCAACTCTAATCAACCACAGATGCTGAACCATATATAAATCTGCCAGGAGAATATCTATTACAAGGCCAGAGATAGAAAAACATGAATGAACATGTTCATGGTGGAAAGAAAAGGGGTAACAAAAATCAATCAAAACCATAGAGATACTTGCAGCTTTGGAGTAGCACTAGCCACAAGACAACAATAATATACAAAGAATAGACAGGTCTAAGCCTAACAAACTACCATCCATCGTCACCAAGCAACTGCAAAAATTACTTTTAATATTTTTTCCAAATCAATGTCATTTCTATATTCTCACACAGGCAGGACATGACTGCCTTATGGAACATTGCCTCTGATTTCTAGTTATATAATTGCATAATACAATTATAATATCCATATGCATGACTAAAGCAGAATACTGATATGGAATCCAGCCCAGTGACACGATAAAGAAATATCCATGCTAAAACTTACCAATCTAGCTATCACAGGCAAACAACCACAAGCATGCCCCCCAGCTCGAAGAGGACAAAGTCTTTCACAGGCATCCTTAAAAGCTCTCTTCCATAAGTCAATGGAGAAGCTTCCCTGCTCTTGATCACCTAAACCATGTCTTCTTCCATAGATTTTCCTTGAGCTGGAGCTCTTAGCAGCAGCAGACTGCATATGTGGAGTCAGGGTCTTGGGACAATAAAACAACACAAGACTTATCAGTATGAAGCAAAAGTATTTATTTCAGATAGGTAAGATAAGTACGAAATCAGAAACGGTTCTTATTCAACCTGCCACCACACAGACTCAACAATTCGCGAGAATATCCAAGCTTCAATCTTTTCCAATGCAAATAAAAATGTTTGTGGATCCTCCCAACTATGAAAAAATTTGTTGCATTTTCTTTTTTTCTCCATCATGAGGAGAAGGTGACCTCTTCAGCAAGCTTCCATTAACTGATCCATTTCTTTCACTATCGGTGCACAGACTGTCATCAAGTTGTATCTTTCCAATTCCTTTGCCTACAATAGCTCTCAACGAAATAAATTTGAGAGCCAGAAGGTCAACCTATTCAAGGTAAAGAAATATCATCATCATTATCATCATTTTTTATGAAAGAAGAAACATTAATTCTTAATAAATACATATGCATTCATATTTTATAAATTATGTGAAAGCCTTCAGAGGCAGATTTTAAAATTTTCCACCCTTTAATGGATGAAGGAAAAAGTAAAATAAAATTCTTCAGATATATTAGGTTTAGCTAATATGAAAGCTTCCACCTGCACAATAGGCACAGGAAAATACTAAATATATAAGAGCAAGATTTGCCCCTAAGAGCACCTGAGTTTGTATATCATGCAACATTAAAAACAAAATACATAAACGAGCTCTAGTACCTTGGGACATCATTTCCACATGCTTTTGAAACCAAAACAAATCCTGAAACAGCACTTTGGGATGCATTAGCTCTGGCAGCAGGTGATCCAACTCTAAAAGCATGCAAATAGAATCTAGAAATGCGCCGAGCAGGGGCGTGAACCTTGTTTGCTGAGCTTCCATGATCAGCAACAACAGAGTAAAGTGAAATTTCGAGAGCAGCAGCTTCCCTCAGCTCTTCTTGTAGCATTTGAACTTCAGACTTCAGTTCAGTTTCATTATTATTAAAGCTGCCATTTGTACTAGAGCCTTCATGACAAGCAGCATCAACATGATCACCATTCAGAGTACTATTTTCCTCTGCCTTGTTTGCGGCTTGATTTTTACCAAATAAACCATAATTCTCAGAAGTGTCTACATGCAATTTAAGAGTTATCAAATCCTCTGGTTTTCATTAATCAAAACATTACTGGGATGTTCATCGGATTTCCTACTCAAGGGACGAGTAGCACTTGCCATTTTTCCATTTCTTGGATAATCATCTTCAGATGGATTATGAAGAAGTTCCTTATCCTGAGATTGAGAAAAGCTTTTGATGTTTGATTGCATAATGTATGATGCAGATAAGCTTTTGACCATGGCACCCTGGGAAATTTTGGACTACTTGATCGTCGAGTGCTTCCTGGAAGTTTACAACTTGCATCAGCATCAGCATCATCCACACATTCCTCAGGAATTTTTGGTGAAGAATACCTATCATATGTAGCATTGCCAGTGTTTGAGGACAAGACCATAGACAGCGAATGTAATTTGATTCCATTTAATTGTTTCGACACTCCAGCCTCTTCTTTAATATGTGAGCTAGGAAAGTCTGGAATCTTAGAACTTACATCACCAACCTTGACATGCTGCTCAGAAATTTTGGGTGAAGGCCTATTATATGTGGTATTGCCAATATCCGAGGACAAGGTCACAGATGGTGAGGGCAATTTAATTCCATTGAATTTTTTGGATGCTCCAGCCTCTGCTTTTATATTTGGGTTAGCATATTCCAGAATTTCAGAACTTGCATCAGCAACCTTGGTATGATCCTCAGGAAATTTTAGTAAGAAGTCCTATCATACGTAGTATTGCTAGTATCTGAGGACAAGACCAGAGATGATGAGTGCAATGATGCCCCAGTCTCTGCTTCTATATGTGAGCTACCAGAAGATGTCTCCATGGGTACAATGGATCCTCCAGTTAATCCCACTGTTCCTAGTTTGCTAATTTCAACCTTATCTGCAAACAAATGGCAGCACCATATCATCAAAGCAGAGCTTTTTTTTTTAGGCCAGTTAAACATCAAAGGAAAGCATTTCAGCAGAAAAATACTATTGTCCCGAAGAACAGGTAACTGAATCTTCAGGTTTCTCTATCTAATTCTGTCACAATAAATCTACTCATATGAAAAAAGATTAAATGTCAACATATCTGGAGTCGAAGACATTGATTATTGTATGAAGCAGATAAATGGAAAGTTACTTACTGCAACAGTACCTTATATAGAAGTGTATGATCATCACAAGAATAAAGTAACATCAATAGGAAATAAATTGCAGCGAGCAAGTAAACTGAAAACTCATATTGATGATTGGTGTGCATATTGACACTGAAATGGTGAGAATGATTACAATTTACATAATGCAGGATTAGAAGCTATTAAATTGGAGTACTCCATCACTTAGATGTGGCAAACCTCCTGTAGTCTCAGAAGTGGATTTGACAGTTTTGTGAGGTATTTGAAGAATACCATCAATCTCATCATCAGTAAAAGAGGCAATTTCAACATCCTCATCATTTAGGGACTGTGTTGCAGATTCACTTTCTTCCTTGTCCAGCGACAATTCTTTTGACACACTGCTCTTCGGAGATGAGTCAGAGCCCTCTACATCAAATGGCTGAATATAATATAAAGAAATGGGTGTGCTGAGTTTCTGAAACTCCTCTTGCAGTTCACCTGAGTGTTTACGGCTGTAATTTCCTTAATAGCTCCATAATCTGCTATGTTTATTGTGGCTGATCCCAAGAGTTGACTTTTGGCTGTCTTGTTGTCGTTTTGGCGTTCATATAAGTAGAAGTCTAAGCAATTCTTCTGAAAAATGTCATGGTGTTTTACCTCTTTTGGATGACTCTCTCAATAAAAGTAATGGAAGCCTGAAAGACTCGTTGATCTCAATTTTCCCATCCCTTGAACTACAAGCAAAAGATCCTGAATTTTTATCACCATTTTCCCATTGCAGTACTACTGATTGAGCAGATCTCTGTGATTTAGAAGGAGGCCAGGGCTTGATCTCCTGAACATGGATAATGTAGTGCACTTGGATTGAGACAGTTTTT